ACAGTTTAGTTGAAATTTCAACTTGTTCCTTGGTTTCTAATAATAAATCATTATTTTCCATACATAAATTATAATATCAGTAAACAAACGTTGGTACACCGGCCACCGTCCGCACTGTCTATCGCCTATATTTGTGAGCTATTCGTTCTTTTGGTTTCGAGGCGTGAAAGAAGAAACACCTTGACCTATGTTTTATCTGTTCCACCGACTCCCTACTTTTGCATTATTCTGGCGTGCTTCGGCAAAATACAAAGTTAACAGTCAACTTATAAATGATATTATCCCAACTCTGAGTGTAATAATTATTAAATCGTGGAAGATAGCGTGGCGGAACACAACAGTGTCGAATTACAACGGTTTTTGGAAACGTGCTGTGATGGTGATGCTGAAGTTGTTTTATAAAACTGCAAGCGTAATAATATTTTCTGAAGAAGCGCCAGTTAATTCATAGGTACCAAGCAACTTTGTATTCACCTTTTTTTCCTGTTACACCTGAGAAGATAATCGAGTTATAGTTCATTATTACATTCACAGGTCACCGCATGCACACCCGCCATGTTGCTGTGTTCTTCAACAAAATGATGTTACCTATGTGAGAATCTAGCCTACCAAAGAAAAATAAATTCAAAAAAAGATCGGTTCGTTTTTAATTATTTCAGAGTGCCCTATTCCCAGGAACAAACTAAGGCCCAGTGGTACAATCGAAGCTTATAAATCGTGGCTTATTAAAGCTTAACTGTTACTTGTACTTTCCTATTTAAAATGCATTACTGTCAACGTGTTGTCAAATCTTACAGCTGTGCATTTTAAATGGGAAGGTTTCAAGTACCAGAAAGCTTAACTAAGCCATGATTGGCTTCATTTGTACAACCGGGCTTAAAAAAAAATACTTATGGTAAATAATTCCAAATTAACAGTAACAAAGCTAAATAATATTTGCGAATAAACGTTTTTTACTATTAATAAATGATTATTTGAATCAAGTATTGTTTACTTACTGGTAATAAATATAAAGTTATATTTAATCCAGCAAAAGAAACCAGAATTTATTATTAACAAACGTATATTTTTGAAAAATATGATCAATTTACCATTAGTAAAGACAGAAAATCCAGAAGCAAACACCAACTTCAGAGAACAAAATATTTATTTATTATTAATATGCGTTAATTAATTATTATTAGATAGAGTATATCATTAAATAAGTGCTTTATTCTCAAATTTTAAACAAATAATTTGTGTATTATGACCAAAGGTTTAATAAGCCATATTTCAATAAGCGATTTAGTTATAGTCACTAATTTTAGGTTATTATAACTAAATCCTTCTTTCAGTGTAGGTGACAGGTAGATGTAAATGCATATAAAATGTGTGCATTTCTTGGACATTAAACTACCTGTATCTCAAAAACTAGTCATAGGATTAAGTTGTGCCCATGATAATTATTGATCAGAAAGGTGAGATCTATAACATACTAAAATTTGGTTAAATTTGACCGCGGTCAGAAATCCCATAAGAAGTGTGCGGGGTCCTTTGTTTTTTTTTAATTAAACAATACCAGAATAGAAAAAATAGTATAAAATATTCGTTTCATAAGACATTTTATCGCACTCGTCCTTTAAAAATCTCGCCTCCGGCTCGTTTTCTAATATAGGGCTCATGCGATAAAATCACGTCTTATGAAGCTTGTATTTTAATAAACTATTTTTAAATGGAACACCCGGTAGCATTTTTGTATCGAGCGTCCAGCAACCCGCATTCGGGGTACCCGACCTCGGCACGTATCAAGCGTACGGTAGTACGAAAATCACTCGGACTACCGTATGCTCGATACTCGCGACTCGCGCCTACAGTCTCGAATATCTTTTTGAGTTTTCCTGGCTCCTCACCATCAAGCTACTTGATAATATGTATTAGTTTAATTTTGGTTCTGGTAGTCAAATCGTAAAGCAATTTTAATTCTAGTAGTTCACTAAGTGGAATGGAAAGTAGCAAAAAACTTAAAGATTAATAAGATTTTGCTATTTGCCTAGTTATTTGATGCTGTCTCTCACAAACTATCCCAAACTAACCCTAAGGCTGTCCTTACCTTAACCTTTTGCTCAGCTCCAATTTGGGTTAGTTTTGGTTAGTTTTGTTACTTAGAGACAGCATCATAAATAATTATTTACATCTGCCTGAATCTAATCTCCGCATTTGTCAAATAACGATTGCAGGACAGGTATACAAATCCCTAAGTAAATAGCAAAAATCTTGTTAATTTTTACCTGCTTTAAAAATTCGATTTTTAAATCGTTCTAACATATTTCAAAAAATAGGCGTTTTTTTTGGAGAAAAAAGTATACAGATGATAATGTCATTGGAAGAATGGCTAACACAATAATTCAAAAATGTTTTCGAAAAAACGTGAAAGTGGCCTATTCTATCTCGCCATGGTATTATATTCATGGTAAGGTTATGTAGATGAAACATAATTTTGCTCTTACTTATTCCCTTACCTCGACTTCCTGCTTAGTCTTGAAATTAGTTCGTATTTCGCTGGAATCGACAATGTGGTACATATAATTTTCTGGCCAGTGCATAATAAATGATAAACAATTAAAAAAAAAAAAAAAACTGAATTGTTGGACGCCGATCCATAATTTCGCAGAAGACTAGTATCAAGCGTACGGTAGCTTGACAATCGATCGGGTAATCAGACGCTCGTTATGAGACAGGCCTCGGTTAATACGACGTTACCCGAATGCGGTATACTGGACGCTCGATACAAAAATGCCACCCGGTATATTATATGTGTGTACGTTAGAGCATATTATTCTGATTACAATGATATAACACATTTCATATTTTGTTCCACTCGTTTTTGACAAATCGGCAAAAATATATGAAATTTTTATATGCTCTCAATAATTTTCGTCCCAAATATCAGACCGCGCCGCCTAATAAGTTTCACTTCGAAAGTTTCATATTTTTGCCGATTTGTCAAAAACGAGTGGACCAAAATATGAAGTGTGCTATATCATTGTAATCAGAATAAGATATTATATCGAACACATATATAATATACAGGGTGTTCCATTTGAAAAAATATAATGTAGGCTTATATGTCAAAAAGTTGATAGTGTTTTGTTTTACGTGTAATTTGAAAAAAAACTTGGCTACTAACCCTACATTTTGTTTTTTTGTTTACCTTGATAACTTCAAAAACAAAAAAGTTACAGGTGATCAGAATGATATCGAAGATAAAAAAACACCCGGTACAGGGGGATTAAAAAATAGGAAAATATGCAGGGTTTTTTGGTAAAAGTAGAAAAAAAATGGCACATCACTATTTTTTTAAACCTTTGATATTTTTTTCAGATTAAGCAAGTCATATTTCAGTCAAAAGAAACCTTTCGTTATCACAAATCAACCTGCCAAATTAAAAAAAAAAAAAAAATGGAAAAATTTTTGAGCTGAAAAAACGATTTTTTCTAAAACTTTGACACCCTGTATCTCAGAAACTACGCATTTCTGGTCACATATTTATGGGAACTTTTTTTGTTAAAATATCGTAAGGAATGACATCCTGAAGTTACGGACCGTACTTAGGAAATACCCTGTATATTTTTCTATTTTTTGACCACCCTGTACATGCTATTTCAATTTTTAATACATAGTTTGATATTATTTTTTCAAGAAGCAGAAACTCTTATAAAGGATAACTTTTTTTCGTAAAATTGATAATAAAAAAGTTTCCCATGTGCTGCGAACTTAAGTGGATACACTGTATTTTATGAGAAAATTTCATGAATCAAAAATTCAAATTTTTTGTCAAAACACCAGTTCTCGCATTAGTTACTATGCAATAATTTAACACTAATATAAATTATCACGTAATTCCAATCTGATTGGTTCAAATCAACAATCAAAACATGTCAGTTTATTGTTGGTATATCAGTTTTGACAAATGTATGAAATTCTTATCAAAAAAACGGCCACTAAAATCAAAAATCGACGTATCCGAGATTTTTTGAAAAAAAAATCAACCTTGTATTTTTGATGGATTTTATTCCTAACCTTCACGTACTAACTGTATTTAACTATGCTATATGATATCCTCTTTCGTTTATTGAATTCTAGTAAAGTTATCTTTGTTCGTTTTGAGTTCATTATGAAATATATTCACCATAATTATTTACACAAACTAATAACTGGCCTTGCAGTCCTCTCGCGTCGTGTAATTTTTACGTACCCCGGTGCGAAATTAAATCCGCCAGAGGCAGCACGTCGCTGCAGCCAAAATTTTTGAATTTCCGTGTTTGCAGGGCTTACAATTTGAGACGAGATCTCAAAAACTACTTAATATTTTTGAGTGAATCAAGAAGATTCGAAAAGATAATAAAATTTAGAACAATGCTCTTGTTTCATTTTTTTAAAAAAAGCGATGGGTTTGGATGTACCGAGCGATAGAAATGATGCTTTTTTTCGAGTATTTAGGTCGTGATATTTTCAATTTGCAATTTTTTTTTCGAAAAACTAAAACAACAGCATTATTCTTTAGATTTTTATCTTTTATTATTTTCTAATCCGGTCAAAAAATATTACAAAATAAGTGAGTTCTCGTCTCAGGAAATTAACCCTTTTTCTCAATTTTTAACGGCTTGTTGTTGGCCTCTTAACAAATTTTGGGCGTTAGGTGATTACAACGCCCAGAATATGTTTCTTGCAGCTTCTATGAGGGAGAAAGAGAAAGCTCGACAATACACTAACAGGCCATCAAAAAGGCAATATTCTAGAATATACACTCTCAGAGCAGTCCCTGTTTGCCGTGAAATGTTTAGGCATACGTTTCAGGTATCAACCAAAAAAATAAACACCGCGTTACAGAAAATACGATCTGACGATTTGAAAGATAAAAGGGGACAAAAACAGGGAGGAAAGAACAAGACAAGTGATAAAAAATTTGAGACAGTCAAGGAACACATCAATAAACTTCCACGATACAAGTCACATTACAGGCGTGATAACACTGATGCCGAATTTCTTTCACCTGAAATGACCCTTATAAAAATGTATGACTTGTATGTGGAAAACTTAATTGGAGAAGAGAGGAACAATGAGATAAGGGAATGGAGGGAAGGAAATGAAAAAAATAAAAATGATATATTGAAAGATATTGATGCAGTAAGTTTTTCAACTTATAGGAGAATATTTTTAAATGATTTTAATTTAAAATTTAAAAGTCTAAAGAAAGACACGTGTAACACATGCGATTCCTTTGCTGCTAGAATACAGTCGGCAACTGGTTCAGCCAAAAACGTTTTAGAAGAGGCACATAACAAACATATAGACCTTTGGAGAGAAGCTCGAAATCTCATGAATCATGACAAATTAGAGGCTCACAAAGTGAAGGAGTTTGAATGCTGAAGTTATGATCTGGAAAAAACGTTACCTCTTCCTCGAATTCCTACTGGTATCGTTTTCTACAAGAGGCAGTTGTGGTTGTATAACGTTGGTGTTCATTATTTTAAAAACAATCAAGGATATTGCTACGTTTGGACAGAAAATCAAGCGGGTAGAGGGGCTCAAGAAATTGGTTCATGTTTGATTAAGCATATTGAGACCAAAGTGGAGAGTGGAATAAAGGATCTTGTTTTGTGGAGTGATTCATGCGGTGGCCAAAACCGGAATATTAAGATGGTCTTGATATTAAAATCGTGCCTTGAAACTCATCCCATCCTGGAAACAATAAAAATGAAATATCTTGTACCTGGACACAGCTTTTTAGCTAATGACACTGACTTTAGCGATATTGAAGGAGCATTAAAACATGTAACTACAAACGCTTTATTTGCCAAGTGACTACGTCCAAGTTATGAAAAGAGCTAGAAAAAAAAACCATTTATTGTAACTGAAATGCAAAGTCTTGATTTTTTTGGGACACAAAATTTGGAAAAAGCCATAGTTAATAGGAAAATAGACGAAGAAAAAGAAAAAATAAACTGTCTTAAAATTCGAGAAATCAAATTGCTAAAGAAAGAACCTCTGAAACTATATTGTCGTAATGACTTTCAATCGCCATATTCTGTTATAAACTTAGAACGTAAACCTGCTAGAGGACCACAACAAAATGAAATTTCTTTTAGAGGTTTACTTCAGCCAATGTGGGAAAAGGGAAAAGATATTGCAGCCCCAAAGTTGAAGGACCTAAAGTCCCTATTACATCTTATTCCAGCTGATGCGTAGGATTTTTATCGCAATCTCTCTGGTAGTCGCGACGTGGAGGATGATGTGGATGGATTTTGTATTCCGCCTGATTTTGAGCCAGATAATGTTGAGGAGGTGTAGTTGATAAGATTTTAGAAAAAAAAAAAAAATGTATTGAAGTAAATAATTATTAAGTTGTAAGGTGAATAAAAACCAATTATGTTTTTTAATTTTGTCACATAAAAAGCTTTGCGACCGAAAATGCATTATTTTTGATTTCATTAAAACCCTATGCATTTCATAGAACGGAACCAACAACATTGATTTTTTTCTGCATTTCAGATTATAATTTTTTTTTACTATGAGAGAAAGGAACCAAACCACAAAAATTTAAAAATGAGCAATAGCTATTGTAAGTCAATTGATATTTTTCATTGAAAAAGTTACAATAAGTATTACCTCACCCCTCTAAATTGAAATCAGTACTTTCTAAACTAATGCTAATTTATAAAATCACTTTTACTTCAACCACCATTTTCTCAAGTCATGAGTCATGATGGTTGGTTCTTTTCTGTTTAATGCTGTCCAATTCATCCTCTTACATTTTAATTTTTTTCTAGAAATCTGGCAAAAGGAAAATTATAAAATGTTTCCAGAAGTAAAAGAAAAGTGAGAAGCACATTATAGAAAAATTTCAAAATTTTCCAGTTAAAAATCACTCCAGGAAAAATTCTGGGAAATTGACTTTTTTAGACAAAATTCACCCTCTTACAACCGGGAAACTGGCAAGAAAATTGTGAAAATTTTCCAGAAAAAGAAGAAAATAAAGAGCTCATTGTAGCAAATTTTGTAATTTTCGAAGACTCATAATTTCCGTAATTTTTCTTTAGACATTTTTTAATTCCTGTCATTTCTCAAATAATTCTTATAATTTTTTTATTAATTCCTGTTGTTCTTCAAATTTTCGTAATTTTTTAATTCCCGTAGTTTCTCAGAAAATTCCGTTATTTTTATAATTCCACGTTTTTGTATATTTCAAAAATTAGTAGGTAATTTCCGTATTTTTTCTGGGCATTTTTCAAAATCATTTCCCGAAAGCCTTTGTGATTTCTAATTCTCGTAATTCCCGTAACTTTTTCGTAATCCCTGTAATTTTTTATAATTCTCGTAACTTTGATAGTTTTCGTAATTTTCAATTCCATTTTCAATTGTCGTAATTTTTTAAATTTCTTAGACGTTTTTTGAAATTTTATAATTTCCCGGTCTTTATAATTTTTGTAATTGTAATTCTTGATTCTTGTAATTTTTGGTATTTTTTAAGTTTTTGAAAATCATCATAGGTTTTTTCGATTTTTGCAATTCATTAATAAATTTCCGTGATTTATTTCCAAAATTTTCGTAACTTTTGTAACTTTTCTAATTTTCATAATTTTTTAAAAATTTAATTATTTTCCTTAGTCCCGAAATTTTTCGTAATTTCTGCAATTTTTGCAATTCTCGTAATTTTCGTTAATTAACAAATTCCTTAATTTTTGTGTTATTTTCGATATTTTTTTTTTCAATTTTTCGTAATTTCCGTAATTTTTGCAATTCCTATAATTATTCTAATTGTCCTAATTTTTTTTATGATTTTCCCGTAATTTCTTTATTTTATTTTTCAATAATGATAATTCACGTAAGTTTTTGAAATTTCTGTTATTTTTTTTTTTTTTTTTCGTAAAACGCAATTTCCAATAATTTTTTGCAATTCTACGTAATTTTTGAAATTCGTGTAATTTTTTTTCAATAATTTTTAATTGTTTTCCGTAATACTCGATTTTTTTCTAATTTTATAATTCTTCTCTCAATTTTTTTAATAAATAATGTATTTTCCGTGATTTTTTTGAAATTTTTGTGATCTTTGTTAATTTTTGTAATTTTACATAATTATTGAAATTTCCGTGATTTTTTTCGTAATTTTATAATAATTCTCCTAATTTTTCAATAATTGTAATTCCCGTATTTTTTTGAAATTTCCGTGATTTTTTGTAATATTCGTTATTTTTTCATTTTTGTAATTCCTGTAATTTACGTAATTTATCAACGACTTTTGTATTTCTACGTAATATTTGAAATTGCTTTTGTAATACTCAAATATAATTCTCCTTTTAAGTTTTTAATAATGGTAGTTTTCGTAATTTTTTAAATTTTCCGTGATTTTTGCAATTCTTGTAATTTTTGTTATTTTTTCGTAATAATAATAATTTTTGAAATTCCCGTGATTTTTTTCGTAATTTTTTAATTCTCCTAATTTTTTACAAATTTAATTTTCGCAATTTACCCATGATTTTCGCAGTTCTACATAATTTTTGAAATTCTCGTAATTTTTGTAATCCTCGTGATTTTTGTAATTTTTCCGTAATTTGCCAATGATTTTTACAATTTCACGTAGTTTTTGAAATTCCCGTAATTTTTTAAAATAATTTCCATTACATAAATATTTCCATTCCGGGTTTTTTTCGTAATTTTGCAATTTTCATCTTAATTTTTCAATAATTGTAAGTGCTGTAATTTTTTTCAAATTTTCAGGATTTCTGCAATTTTAATGATTTTTGTTATTTTTTTGTAGTTTCCGTATTTTACGTAATTTTCAATTATTTTTGAAATTTTACATAATTTTTGAATTTCCAGTATTTTTCAAACTTATTTTGATTGCTTTTGTAATACCTGATTTTTTTGTAATTTTTTAATTTTCTTCTTAATTTTTTAATAATTAATGTATTTCCCGTAATTTTTCAAAATTCCCGTGATTTTTGCAATTTTTCCGATTTTTTTTTTTTTCATTTTTTCGCGATCCCTGTAATTTTTGAAATTTTTATAATGTTTCAATTTATTTTTATTAATTCTATATTTTCCGTATTCCTGTATTTTCCTTAATTTTTTAATGGAATTTTTATAATTTTCCTAATTTTTGTGATTTCTGTAATTTTTTGATTTTTTCGTAGTTTCTAATATTTTTCAATTTTTGTAATTCTTTAATAAATTATTTTCGTAATTTTTTAATTCTTTTAATTTTTATAATTCTCATATTTTTTTAAAAATCTAGTAACTTTTTGTAGTTTTGAAATTTTTGTAATTTCTACTAATTTCAATTTTTGTAATTTTCGTGAAATTTTCCGAAATTTTTGCAATTTTTATATTTTTTAAATTATCAATTCAAAACTATAGGAATTATATACATAATTCAAAATTTTAAAAAATATTCTGAAATTACGGAAATTATTCGAATATTGCAGAAATTACGAAAAATAACGGAAATTACAAAAAAATAGGGGAATTACAGGAATTATCCAAAAATGCAGGAATTACTCAAAGTTATTCAAAATTACAGGAATTATTTGTAAATTACGGAAATTTTCTCAATATTACAGAAAATTACAGAATTTACGAAAAATGGAAATTATGAAAAATTACGTGAATAACGAAAAATTACGAGAATTATGGACATTACGAAAAACTATGAAAATTACAGAAATTATTGCAAAAATTTTAAAATTTTCAAATGAAAAATCACTCCATAAAAAATTTTGGGAAATTGACTTATTTAAGCAAAATTAAGGAAAATTCACCTCTTACATTTTAATTTTTTTCTGGAAAACTGGCAGAGAGAAATTTTTGAAAATTTTCCAAGAAAAAGAGGAAAGTGAGGAGCTCATTATAGGAAAATTACGAAATTTTTCAGTGAGAAATTACTCTAGGGAAAATTCCGGAAAATTGACTTTTTCAAGTAAAATTAAGGAAAATTCATCCTCTCACATTTCACTTGTTATCTGGAAAACTGGCAAAAGAGGAAAAAGAGGAAAGTCAGGAGCTCATTATAAGAAAATTTCAAAATTTTCCAATGGAAAATCCTTCCAGGAAAAATTCTGAAAAAATGATTTTTTCAAGTAAAATTAAGAAAAACTCATCCTCTCACATTTTAATTTATTTTTGGAAAACTAATAAAGCAAAACTTGTGAAATTTTTCCAGAAGAAAGAAGAAAATGAGGAGTTCATTATAGGAAATTTTCAAAATTTTCTAGTGAAAAATCACTCTAAGGAAATGTTTTGGACTGTATTTCTTTTTGGTTGATCTTGAAATAATGGACTAGCAGATGGTGATGATGAATACTTGGTTTATTGACATTTACTATTTGATTTTTAGATGAAAAAATGATTTTTTATAAAAGCTGCTTGTTTCT